ATTATCCCCACTATAGCACTGCTACACGTACGTGCCTTATATTTTTTAGATAATAATAATAAACTAATTAACATTATTAATGAACTAAAAATAGAATTCTACTTCAGGCAGCTACAGCTTTTATTCGTTTTCAAATAAAGGAATTTCTTGTTGGTTGTGTTTTGAGTTTCTCCAAAGCCTAGCTTTTCCCCCACTCCCATCTCTCTCTTATATTATGTACCACATAATTATGTGGTTGCTAACCATTCTTGGTTTGTACAAATTATAATCCATGCATTCTTTCGTGGGTTCCAATCAATGAATTTTCAAAAGCACGCATTTTTAGTATACACATAATCTTTAATACACACATTCTCGTAATACATTATTTCCAGAATCAAAGATTCCAAACGATCCCTTATATTACTGTTATAACTTTTTTCGAGTATTGCTCTACACATGTATATTGCATACTATGACATCGGCCAACACCTTCTAAACTACCCGTTTCCATGTTTAAAACTATGTAAAGATTTGTTGGTATTATTAGTAAATTGTATAAGATACATAATTGCATGAAATCTTTCTCAAAGAGTTCGAGTTATTTGGCGCCAACTGTTTCTTGACATGGTAACATGGCATTCCGTAATCCCGAGGTTTTTATGTTTGAATCCTGACGACCTCATTTTCGAACTGTATAAATCTCTTAAGAATGATGACTTGAGTTTGAAGAGCGTATTGCCTGCATGTAGTATAAGATTTAGTATCGAATCTCTCTCCAATAACTTGAGTTATCGAGACTTCTTGACAACTATATAATGTATATTATCACTAAGTATATATTAATTAGTAAATTTGGTAATCTAGTTTCAAATTCTTCTTCAATTTACTTTGTCCAATATGGACATAATATTTTTTTTCCTTAAAACCATCAATCCACCAACCTGAAACCATCCCAAGTACCATAAAATTCCATGGTGATGCTCTCAAATCAAAGACAAAGCTGAGTATTATTACTATCTTTATTATCATTATTATTCATAGTTCATTTTTTGTTGTTTAGTTTCATAAAACCCTCTATTTTCCCGCCACCTAAAGAATCCAGCAACAGCCAACAGCAGCTACGAGATTCCTTTTTTCCCGTCGAAAGATAATATTTATTTACAAAGGATAATAACTGATAGATTACTGTGAAAAAAGGCACTCAAATCTGGAGAATATCATATTACTTAATTATATATGTATCTGCATGGAAAGCAGAGAGTAGATCCCAATCCCATGCAAGCAGCTGTTCTTATTATATTCCTTTTTTTTTCAAATTTATACTCTAAACAAATGCAGCCAAAAGCGTGATTCTACGTAGAAGCATTACGGTGACCTAGAAGCATAAAATCGTAAGGTTTTAAGATTTAAAGCGTAGATTTTGACTACACTTGTAAGTGAAAAGCACGATTTTACGTAGAAGCTTTTCGCTAACCTAGGAACCATAAAAGCATAAGATTTTAAGCGTTAAAACTTAAAACGTGATTTTAACTGTATTGCTCTAAACGAAGCTCAAATTTTTACCCAAACAAAGGAGGGAAGAAGCTTGATTAGGGTTTTGATCACGGCTTGAGAGAATAATCAAACAATTAATAATGATATTTCTTGATAATGATGATCATCATGTTGATGATCATGATATGTACTTGCTGCCTGCCCTAATCGTGATTAATTAATTCTTTCCCTTTGTCATAACTCATAATTATCCAAATAATTAACTGATTTATGTATATGGGGGTCGGGAATTGGTAGGGTATAGTGCCTACTTCACTTGATGTTGACTGAATCTCTTCTTTTCAGCCCCATTGAATTAATTAAATAACCCTAAATAACCCTCCATTAGCCCATTGTTTATTAAATTAGGATGTAACTATCCCCTAAACTTATTATTATTTCTTGAAGCTTTCTTGAAAGGCAAAAATACATTTGAAGGAATCCGGCCTGCATTGGGCAACGGTTCATTCCATACACGTACCCAATCGGATCAAATTGAATACTACTCGATTCAGATTTAATTATATGAATTTTGATTGGACCGAATCAATTGAATGTATTTTTTTTTTTTAAATTTGTGATCGAGCTCTTTTCCTTGTTTCTTTTACATGTGGTTCAATCTTATCTCGACTTGGTTCGAGGTCAAAATCTAAGCTGATCATCATACCGATACCTATCTGAACGGGGTTTGTAATTATGGTTTGCGAAGCTAAATATGAGATTTTGCCGAATAAGTTAGTCGGTGGATATTTGATGGTATAAATTAATCATCATGATTTCTCCTGCTTATAGATTAGCTGAAATACATTGCATTGATAAACCACGTAAATCTGTTTGTTCTTTATTTTTTATGTCGTCGATTTTCCATTTCCTGTCTTAGTTTAATCCTAATCTCTTACTTTTTATCTTGACTCAGCTTGAGACGATGTTTCTGTCAGTTTATTAACTTCGAGATGGGGAAAAGATTAAGAGATCTGCGTCAGAGATTCTCGGCATTGCGTTGTTATAATTGAAGTTTAGCAGAGCATACACATATGGCATCTAATAACTAAAGCGACTTCCCTTATCTAATTGCTTAAAATTTCAATTTTTATGTAAGTAATAATGATTGGAAAATTTTCAGTTTGGTTTTGTTTTGAAGTATGAGATTGACAATATAATTGGGGTTTTTTTATCGCACATTATTTTGTGGTTAGAGGGTCATTTTCGGATAATTAATACAAAAAATTGCATGTGATGTTTACAAATTGAATTAATCATGACTTTGGTATCATGCTAGCATGGAGGATGTCAGCATTAATCGAACCCACGTCGTTTTGGTTAAATGTCAGTTTGGTCACTTAGTTTTGTTTATTCATTCATTGTACTCTAAAATTCCATCAAGTTTTGTTTATTTGTAGGTGAAGTGTAACTTATCGTTGTTACCAAAAGTAAAGCAAGCAATATGATCGCGGGATGTAAAAGCCACCTCTAATTGCTCCTCGTTTGCCGATTCTAATGACATTTAGGAACCCAATCGCTGAGCACAAGAATTGCCAAATTTGAAGAACTCACCAAAAGAGAAAATCGCATTGTTCATTCTAGACGGCCTCTGTTTCTCGGGTGAAACGTTGCAGTTGTAAGTTGTAACGAGGGGGCGGATAATAAGCGCGAGTCGAGTCGAGTTTTGTCATGGTTCGGGCTTGACTCGTTAAAATAGTTTCGAATTTGAGCTCGGTTTGAGTTCGACACGAGCTTTACATTTCAATATGCAAGCTCTGCTTGAGGTCGGCGGCTCCTTGTACGAAAATCGAAGCTCGAGCTCACTCGATAGTTTGGCTCGTCAGATGAGTTTTAACGAACACAAACCGAGTTCACTGCTGATATGAGTTGGAAAGGTGGTTGGTGTGGTGTCCATGGTCTAGATCATACCAGACTAGTTAGGAGATCAAAACATCCGATAACATAGACCATGAGCCAAACCCATTTTTTTATAGTATACGGCCCATACCAAACTGTACGCGATTCGATTTCAATCACCTCCAGTATAATATCCTTCCCTCTTTCTCTCTATGTGTGTATTATTTACAAGGGATTTATTTCTTGTACTCCCGATATTTTTTTTTCCACCTAACATCACTCTAATTTACGCATATATAGCATCCTTGTTCCAAAATGGATCTCTTGGATTCACCGAATTGGAAAGGGTTGAAACAATAGGAACAGATGTTTGCAGATGCTGAGACACTCCACAGTGCAGAGTTTCTTTGGATCCTCCCCCATTCCATTTCCAATAGCATTTTTTAGTATAGATATATTCAATTAAATAATCAATTAAAGGAAAAGGGGAAAAATTCAAGTTGTTATAATCTCATCGGTACCAATAACTCGAGTTGTTGGAGAGATCTATGTATGACACTTTCTTACAAGTCTCATCATAAACGAACTCCAACTCACGGGCTTGAAATTTGTATAGACCTAAGCATGCCATGTGCTTTAAAACAACGATTGATATTAGGGATCGTGAATATTGAACACCTGAATTCAAACACAAATCAGCTATGATAGCCTATTTTAATATTGTTGAGAAATATGCCATGCATGGTAATGACTGGTGTACGTCAGGCGTATAGTATACAACATGTGATCTAGCTGTCATATGTACTTAGATGAGCTCCGGCCGATCTCAACGGTCAGTTTTTGTTTTTTATTAAATCAAACTTCGGGTTGGGGTTTAGAAAATCGGTGTTTGGGGTTTATCCATTAGAGGTTAGGGTATAATATCATACCCCAAACTCGATTTAATTCATGGTCTAGATAGAGATATCTCACTAGTAGTACCTGACGTATAGTATACGCCTGACGTACACCAGTCTGACCCATATATATATATATATATATATATATATATATATATATATATATATATATATATATATATATATATATATATATATATACTAACCACTTAAATATTTCATTGCTTAAATTCCATCAGAATTTAACTCCCTACCAATTTTTCTCCTACCCAAATTCCCTTTCATGTTTTTTTCTGCCTACACTAATTAAACAAACCCAATCCGTTATTATTAATTAATAGAAAGCTAGCCTCTATGTTAATTATCCATGAAATTGTCTTCCTTCATGTAAATAACTAATCAGCTTCTCTCTCTAATCAAAATTATTAACAAAAAAAAAAACCCCACCAATTAGAAAAAGAATCCCTCTGCTCCCCTTCTCCTTTTTCTTTCCCTTTACCTTCCCCCAATCCATTCAGCTCTCCCTTTTAATTCCCACTCGTTTACTCACTCACTTGCTGACTCACTTCCTCCCTCCCTCCTTCCCCCTTTGCCAATCTCCGGCATGGATTCCGGCCAGATCTCCACCTGATCTTTTCGGAACGAAACTCCCCTCCACCGTCGACTATTCCATCCAAAATCCCAGGAAGAAAAGAGGACAGCAACAAACCCCCTGATTCCTAATTCCCACAATCGGAATTATTCACCATGGTGCCATACGAGACCGCCGCGATTCCAATCGCCAACCCGCCGGCGACTTCGTCCTCCACCACCACCACCACCACCATCTCCAAGCCGCCCGAAATCGACGGCCTCCTCGCCGGAGCCGGGTACAAGGTCCGCTCCTCCGACCTCCGCCACGTCGCCCAGCGGCTCGAGCGGCTCGAGACCGCCATGCTCAACTCGCCGTCCCAGCACCTCTCCCTCCTCGCCTCCGACGCCGTCCTCTACAACCCTTCCGATCTCTCCACCTGGGTCGACTCGCTGCTCTCCGAGCTCAACCAGTCTCAATCCCTCCCTTCTCTGCCGTCCGATCTCTCAGATCTCGTTTCCAATCCGACGGCTCTCGATGGCTCCTGGATGGACCAACAACTTCCGCCGCCGACGGCGGCGATTCACAATCAGCAACCTTCGCAATTGACGGTGGTGGAAGAGGATTCCGGGATAAGGCTGGTCCATATGCTGATGACGTGTGCCGAGTACGTCCAACGTGGCGAGCTCTCATTGGCCGGGTCGTTGATCCAGGATATGCAGTCCCTGTTGACCCGGGTCAACACGGGTTGCGGCATCGGGAAAGTCGCCGGGTGCTTCATCGACGCGCTGAGCCGCCGCGTGTTTGCCGCCGGCGGCGGCGGCGGCATCCCTGGCTCGGCTTACGAGACCGAGATTCTCTACCACCATTTCTACGAGGCCTGCCCGTACCTAAAGTTCGCGCACTTCACGGCCAACCAGGCGATCTTGGAAGCATTCGACGGCCACGATTGCGTCCACGTGGTGGACTTCAACCTGATGCACGGGCTCCAGTGGCCGGCCCTGATCCAGGCCCTGGCCTTACGGCCCGGTGGGCCGCCAACCCTCCGGCTCACGGGGATCGGCCCACCATCACCCGACGGCCGCGACTCGCTCCGCGAGATCGGCCTCAGGCTCGCGGAGCTCGCCCGGTCCGTCAACGTCCGGTTCGCGTTCCGCGGCGTCGCGGCATCCCGGCTCGAGGACGTCAAGCCGTGGATGCTGCAGGTGAACCCGAAGGAGGCCGTGGCGGTCAACTCCATCATGCAGCTCCACAAGCTGCTTGCTGGGCCGGGTCTCGACCCGGCCCACCGGCCCGCACCGATCGAGGCGGTCCTGGGCTGGATCCGGTCCCTTAACCCGAAAATCGTGACCGTGGTCGAGCACGAGGCGGACCACAACCAGCCCGGGTTCCTCGACCGGTTCACCGAATCGCTGTACTACTACTCGACGATGTTCGATTCGCTCGACGCCTGCGCCCTCCAGCCGGAGAAGGCGCTGGCGGAGATGTACATTCAGCGGGAGATTTGCAACGTGGTGAGCTGCGAGGGGCCGGCCCGGCTCGAGCGGCACGAGCCGCTGGCCAGGTGGAGGGAGCGGCTCGGTCGGGCCGGGTTCCGGCCGCTGCATTTGGGTTCGAACGCGTTCAAGCAGGCGAGCATGTTGCTGACTCTGTTCTCCGCCGAGGGGTATTGTGTCGAGGAGAACGAAGGTTGTTTGACTCTCGGGTGGCACAGCCGGCCGCTCATCGCCGCCTCCGCTTGGCACGCGCTGCCGGAAACCGCCGCCGTTTCTCCCGATGTCGCGGTGGTTGGTGGCGCTGTGATGTAAAAAGAAAAAAGTTCGGCAATCGGCAAATTGGAGGGAAATGGGTTTCCTTTTTTTTGGGGGGAAATTAGATCTTCTTTAATTTTCTTTCTTCTTACTTTCCTTTTTTCCATAACCTTTTTTCTTAAGGGTACCGCCATTGAAATCAAATGTTTCAAGCTTTGAGAGGGACTAATTATTAGAAACCCACATACAAATCACTGCTACCAATTCGGTCTCCAATAGTTCTGATTAGACAAAGCTCGATCGGGGTAAAATTGGTTGAAACAGTTGAACAATGGTAAAGTAGCTGACTTTCGAGCAGTGTCCATGACACCGTACCGTACCGACGGTTCAACCACGAAATACCAGTATTGGAGGCTAAACTAATAGGCGGTATTCAACGGTATAACGGTTGAACTATGGTTAAACCACGGTTTTACCATAAAATACTCTAAAACTTACTTTCTCGGTACGATCTCCGGTACGGTTTCATGGACCATGCTTTCGAGGCAAATGCACCGATTGATAAGGATACTGAGAAGGAACAGAGGAAGGAATGATTCATGGTGTGATTTGATCCTCTGTGGAGGTATTACTAAGTCAATTGCGTTGTATGAATTCCCTTTGGACGGCAGAAGATGGGTGGACTTGGTTTGACATGACGTAGTGAAGGTTCTCTGCCTTGTATTTACGTCGATGGATTATTGTTGGCATTGGTATTGTATACTATACATGATGTGATGATGAAGATGATAATGTAGTTTGTTGAGATGGACCGTATAATAAATTTGTAAATATGGGGGGAAAAGGGAGTTCCATCATGGAAACATAGTTTTTTTTTATATTTGGTGACATCGATGTTCCTAACACTTCTAATCATTGTTTTTCTTTGCCCCCAACCCCAAACCGATTGATAAGAGGGAGGGTTTGCAAGTTGCTAGCCCCATCCAACTTGACAATTGAATTAGGGTGGTGTTGGTGCCTAGATCGGATTCGTGTTTGCGATGCGAGTTATTGAGAAATGTTTATCGACAAATCAACTATAACAGATAACTGAATCGTCCGTGAATACCGATAACTCTGGTTAGATGACGTGCACAATGCAGCTTGTTCATTTGTTGATTTTCTAGTATGATAGCTGGAGGCAAGGAAAAATTCCGGGGGGGGGGGGGGGTGCTTACAATGTGACCCTCCTCATTCTTGTACCGGTGATATCCTCGCATCTGGAAGAAGCATGACGGTATACGTTACGTACCCTGACCAGAGCCTGTCTGGTGAGCGTATCGAGATTTAATTCGACAACTGGTTTGATTTCTCTCTCGATCAACACGAATCTCAAATACCATATCGAAAAACCAGATTTGCTCGGGGTTTTCTGGCCAATAACCGGGGAGAAGGTATCCGATAGAGAGATATGATTACTTATTAGGATGTCCCAAGCTCCAACCGTAAGATAAGGCAAGTGTGTATGAAATTGACTAGTGAATTAAAGGAGATCCTATGAAGACACAATTACATGGGAAAGAGAGAGAGAGATGGATGGGAAGGATGATGAGTTGTAACGGGGATTGTTGTTGTGGTGGGGAGAAACGGGGGCAAGTAGTTGTACTATAGCATGTGGGCATGGACCAAATTGCAAGGGGAAAGAAGGCTAAGGGAATTGGAGAACGGGGACCCTCTTTCCTTTCTCCCTCTCTTGCCCTTTTTCAGTGGGGTTCCATCGAAATAATGAAGAGCAGAGATGGATGGAGATGGGAGAAGAAGAAGAAGAAGAAGAGGGAAGGGGAGATGTGAGCCTGTTTTGTTGAAATGAGATGGAAAGGGGGAAAAAAACAGAGTGCCCCCCAATGGAAAGAAGGGTTTGGTGTCACATGACACATCTGCCCGATTGTTCCCTCCCACCTAGCTCTCTCTCTCTCTCTCTTCTTTTAAATCTTTGATGCCAACCCGACTGTGGTGCTCACAACCTGTTGTGAGCATGTGGTCGGGAATCGTCAGGTCAGGCGTGAAGCATTTGTGGTTGTCGGATGGATGCGGTACTGATAATTGTGCAAACCAAAATCTCAAGGCCCTAAAGAGTATTGAGCGATCAGACGCCCAATTTTAGCAAACATTACGGACTCACTCACTCACTCACTCACTCATCTTTGATTCACGCACTCTCAAGACCCCACTCTCAACACTTTCCTCTCATATTCGCCTGTCCCCTTGCAACTTGGGGTAGATGATGATGAGTAGAGTAAGATGCCATTTCAATGGCATTTTAGGGTTGTGGATGATTGTGCATCATGTTGATGAAGAAATCAAGATTGGCTGGATTTGGGTGATTGATTTATTGGGTGGTTGTTGGGATTGAGATGATGAATTTTACGGGTGTTAAAGTTAGAGGACGTTTTTCGGTGAATAAGGATGCATTGTATGATAGCCTAAGTGGTTAAGATGTTGGGCACGTTTGGACGAGATTTTTAGGTTTAAACCTACCGTCCAAACCAAAATCTCGCTTAGGGACACTCTTTTTTCACCTTCTTATAAAAAGAAAGTTAAAGTGTGAGAGAGAGTTTCGATTGTGCACTTGAGATTATGGCTTTCGAACCATGAACTCAGATCAATTCGATTGAACGCGTTCGATTAATATGAAGCGAACCTGAAATCATGATATCTACGTGTTTTTTTTTCACTGCCTTCTAATCCTCTCACTTTTTGCGCCTAATTTGATGTTGATCAAGTTGGTGATCTTCTTAACAATCGTCGGTCTATGTACTATGAAGGGAACTTTTGCCTCTTATCCTCTCACACCATGAGTCTAATTTGGTCGTTGATTGATCAAGGTTGGTAATCTTGACAATCGTCGTTTTTTTTTTATCTTGATAATCTCATTTCCTGATCCTATAAGAAGTAGCGGATCATCGCCATGTTATCGCTTGTAGTATGAGACCCAGTCGACTGACATGCGCCTTCGATAATCCGCTACTCGTGTTCGCTAATCGAAACATGTAGCGATGGACCCACCACACTTCATGAATTCATAATCGAACCAGTTTTCTTTAGGGCAAATATTTAAGGACCGTCCTAGGAGCGGCGAGGACCATGACCGTCATCCTCCCCGTCCCGGCGCCATGAAATGGTTGTTGCTTTCGCCTGTCTATTTTATTGCACGTGTTGACAGTGATTATACCAATTTAATTAAGTTGCAATTTACTATTATTCTTCCCTTTTTCAATAAAGAAAAAATGTCGCTTTGAAAATGATGTTCACTCTTAAATAAATAATTTTCTTAAACTATTGCTCTGAAAATGATATTTGGATTTTATAGAAAAATAAAATGATTGTACTTGTGGTGATTAATTAAATACTAAACCCAGACATCGAATTAATTAAGGCTAAACAACTTGCCAATTTGGTATACTGCAAAACAATCCCAGGCTAGCTAGGAGGATGCCATCCTTCATAACAAATATCAGCAATTGAAACATTTTTCTTAAATGTTAACCGATACAGATTACATAATGAATTTCTTGTGTGGATCATAAAATATTGAAAGTCTTTGAATTCCAAACTCGAAAGTGAGTTTCACTAACTTCCGGTGTCAAGTTTTGCTAATATGATTAGTGAGAAAATTAAGGATATATATGTGGTGCAAGTGTTGACTGTTGAGTGGGAGTTACAGGAAACTCGAATGTGTAAATATTTTCATGAACGAATTTATCATTTCTATCGTTATAAAACCACCTTAACTACAATATTATACCATGTCAAAATTCAAATTTAATCAAAACTATTTATCATTTTCCAAATGCACTAGCTAGTCCAACATCCTTTTCACGACAATGACATGTGAAAAAAAGAAGATGAAAACCCATTATTTAGAAAGATGATAATGGATGAGTTAATTTGATCTAATGGTGCAAGTATTTTCGAAACTATGCATTTTTGTGAGGCAATTGGGTCAACTGCATCATTCCAGAAATTCATCATTCAAATAACCCCTGCTTCACGGATTTGTTGAGGAATTTGAATCCCGAGTGAACAATAGATTCTTTCAAATTCATTATAATAATGAATCCATCATAACCAAATCTAAAAAATTTCAAAATCCAAATTTTCCAAAAATAACATCAATTTTCAAATCTATCAAGCAAACCCGCCTAGAAGTAGAACTTAAAATTTCAACCTCTTTTAATAGTCGCTTTTTAATTAATTTATTCTTTACTATGAGCTAGGTAGCTCCTTAGTCAAATTCACAGATTACCAATCAATCTATTCCGATAGACGCTTATGTTCCCACCATTATTAATCTGTTCCCCCTTCCCGATAGCTCCATTTTAGCATCAAATTATTAGTACTAATCCATCAAGGGTTACCTCTTAATTATTAGTCACCACATCACTTCTTTGAGTCAATTTCAATTACTGTATTTTCATTGATCCGTTTTGAGTCAATTTCAATTACCTGCCATCCAAACTTTTTGCTGGTAAACGAAGCAATTTGGTACAATTGTCTCAAAACGAGACAATTATATCAAATTGATCCGTTACAATTACTCATCCAAACCACCCTAGTTTACTGTTGGCGAGATTCTATCACAAAAGGTAGACTGCTCCCCGGTTACGTCAATTGATCAAATTGACTCATTTCTAAATTGAGCCATCCAAACGACCCCTAGAAGAAATGATACTATTTTTCATGACGGTATCTTGAGGTATATTTTTGAGATGATTCTAGTTGTTATGAAACGAACGATCTGAACATTTTGATCTCGTTGTAACACGTCAAAAGGATTTTTTCGAAAAAGATAGGTTATGGGTAATAAAATTGAGATGACACTGTACCAAATTTCATGTCTTAGAGGCTGGCTAGTTACTCGTCATTCATGGTATAATTTGTCAACATAAGACCCACCACATCAAAATAAAATTTGAAATATCTTTCGGCTAAACTACCCTTAAAGAGAAAAGACAATCAAAATTTGTGACGGGATATTGCCAACAATAAACTAGATGAAAATTGATCCATGATACGGT